GTGTGAGCGGTAGAGTGAGCGGAGCGCGGTGAGCGTGAGTGCGAGTGGTTGGCGTTTTGCCAAACTTTTTTCTCTGTTGTTACGTCGTTGTCAGTCTGTATCTGTAGTTTGTTTGAGTGAGTTTGTGTGTGAGTGTGTGTGTGTGTGTGTGTGTGTGAGTGAGGTGTGGTGGGGTGTGTGCGGGGCGTCAGTTACCGGCGTTTTGCTGGGAGCATGGCGTCCCAAAGCCCCAGGCTGTATGAGAGCCTGTCTCGCCGGCATGGTGTAAAGGTGGAGTGCCGCGCGAGTGTGGAGGAGTGCTGTTTGGCGGCGGGGAGCGTCGTCGGGTACAATAATGTTGTGTCTGCTTCGCGCATGAACAGCGCTGTGGTAATGTTCCTGTCCACTGTGGACAAAGCTAATGAACTGGTGCAGAGTGGACTCGTAATTAGTGATCAGTTCGTGTCTGTTCTGCCCCTCAGTACTCCCTCCAAAAAGATTATTCTGTCCAACGTCCCCCCCGTTTATCTCTGACGAGCTGATCGCTCAGGAGCTGTCCCGGTTTGGAAAACTTGTCTCCCCCATTAAAAAGATCCCCCTCGGCTGTAAATCGCCCCTGGTGAAGCACCTGGTGTCGTTCAGGAGGTTGGTTTCATGGTGCTGAGAGATGGTGAGGACGAGCTGGACCTGGTGCTGAAGTTCAGAGTCGAGGGGTTTGAGTACACGGTGTTTGTGTCGTCTGACACCAACATGAAGTGCTTCAGGTGCGGCCTGACCGGACATCTCGTCCGAGCCTGCCCTGAAAAGCTCAGCGCTAACGCTAATGATGCCGGGAGCGCGGAGCGGCCGGGGCCTGCCGCGGCTGAGCCCGCGGTGGCCGTCCCCCCTGCGGCTGCTGCTCGGCCGGCTGCGCGGGGACCCGGCGGCTGCGGCGCCTGCGGGGGAAGAGCCGGCTGCGGCCGTGCCGGCCTCGGAAATGTCTGCTGGGGTTGCGCCGGCCGCGGACGAGCCTTTCCCGGCGGCGCTAACCGCGGAGGAGCCCGCTGTGGACGAGCCTGGTGGTGAGGAGCAGGAGCGGGGGATTCCTGACCCGGGGGAGCAAGATAACCAGGTAAGGGACAGCGGTACTGAGATCAGTCTAGCTGGTACAGCAGTGGAGGTGGAAATGGAAGTGGAGACTGTTTTTAAAGTTCCTAATAAAAGAAAGAAGCGGAACCGAGGGAAGGGCACTAAACAGGCCAAAACAGACAGCAGTGCGGTGAATGAAGTGGAGTCTGAGAGCGAAGGCTCTCTGTCTGACTCGGGCTGGTCGGTGTGCTCGCAGGAAGAGAACATGGCTGTGCTCTATAAAGTTGACGATATAAGAAAGTTCTTGCGGGTCACTAAAGGCCAAAAGGGCGTCCGTGTTGAAGAGCACTTCCCAAATAGTTCACAGTTTATCCATGACGTCAGGCATTTTAGGAGGGAAGGGTCCTTCACCGCTTTAGAAGTCTACAGGCTGAAGAAGATCCTGACCAGACTGAATAAAGTGAGCACTGAGGATGAGGTCTGACACTTCCTGCCCTCCCTGGTTCAGAATGGCCTCTGTTTTTAGTGTTTTTTTATCTATTTTATTTTTAATGGGTGATGTCAGAGTGGCGAGTCTGAACATTAATGGGGCGAGAGACTGTGGAAAAAGAGCAAAGCTGTATGAGTTGGTGAAGCAGAAGAGACTTGATGTAATATTTGTACAGGAAACGCATAGTGATGTCAGTAACACTGCAGACTGGGCTAAAGAGTGGGAGGGGCTTGCCTTTTTAAGTCATAACTCTTCTTCCAGTGGTGGGGTGGCTGTTCTTTTATCACAGAGTTTTACTCCTTGTTCTTATTCAGTGGATGAAATTTTAAATGGCAGACTTTTAAAAGTGACAGCGTGTTTTGAGAACACTGTTTTTGTTTTTATTTGTGTTTATGCCCCAACTGGGGGGATGGACAGGATGTCCTTTTTGGACACTCTGGACACCGTAATTGCAGGTTGTGGTTCTGATGAGTTTTTAATACTGGGTGGGGATTTTAACTGTACAGCAGACAGCATGGACAGGAACCACATGGAACCGCATGCTGCGTCCCGTAAGAGATTGTGTGAGATGCTGGAGGCCCATGACTTGTGTGATGTCTGGAGGAACTTCCATGGAGGGCAGAGACAGTATACCTGGGCACATTCAAGAGATAACACACTCTCATTGGCAAGGCTGGATCGATTTTATGGTTTTAGGTATCAACTTTCTGCTTTTACACGCTGTCTTATCTCCCCAGTTGGTTTTTCAGATCATTGTATGGTCCAGTGCACAATAAGGAAACGTAACGTTAAGCCGCAGAGTGCATACTGGCATTTTAACACTGCACTTTTAGAGGATGCCAATTTTAGAGAGTCTTTTACTTTTTTTTGGGATGTTTTTAGCTCAATGAAAACATCTTTTAGCTCTCTGCTGCAGTGGTGGGACATAGCTAAAATACAAATTAAAGTATTCTGTCAGCAGTACACTCTCAATGTCACAAGGGACATAGCCAGATCTCTCAAAGCTCTGGAGACTGAAATAGTGGCGCTCCAGGGTTTAGCAGAGGCCACAGGAAATCGGGGGCATATTGAAGCTCTGAAAACAAAAAAGACGGCATTGACTGACCTTTTAGGCATAACAGCACAGGGGGCGCTGGTCCGCTCACGTTTCCAGCGCGTGTCGGAAATGGATGCTCCTTCAAAGTTCTTCTTCGGTCTCGAGCGCAGAAATGGACAGAAAAGGTTTATGCATGCTGTGCGTACAGAATCAGGGGATCTCTTATCTGAGCCTTCTGAAATTCGGCAGCAGACAATCAGCTTTTTCTCAAAGCTGTACGAGAGCGAGTGGGCAGAGGCACGAGAGGTGGAGGAGGGATTCTTCCGTGACCTCAGCCAGCTCACGCGAGAGTCTGCTGCAGTGCTGGATGCAGATATCTCTCTGGGAGAGCTGTATGAGGCTCTCCAGGGCATGGAGAATGGTCGGGCGCCAGGTATTGATGGTCTCCCTGTTGAATTTTACAAAGCGTTTTGGTCAGTGTTGGGGCAGGATGTGCTGGATGTCCTCCAGAACAGCATAAGGGAAGGGAAGCTTCCGCTGAGCTGTCGGAGGGCCGTTCTAACCCTGCTACCCAAGAAGGGGGACCTAGCTGAACTGAAGAACTGGCGCCCTGTCTCTCTGTTGTGCACTGACTGCAAGCTGCTCTCAAAAACGTTAGCCTCGAGACTGGGGAAGGTGATGGAGCAGGTGGTTCACCTTGACCAGACGTACTGTGTGCCTGGAAGGTCAATTTTTGACAATGTATATCTAATTCGTGATGTTTTGGAAGTCTCCAGACTATTGGGCTTAAAGACTGGTCTCATTTTTTTGGATCAGGAAAAGGCATTTGACCGGGTTGAACACGGCTATCTGTGGAAAGTTCTGGAGAACTTTGGTTTCAACCCGGGTTTTATAGCCATGATCAAGGTTTTGTACAGTGACATTGAGAGTGTACTCAAAGTTAATGGTGGTTTATGTGCTCCTTTTAAAGTGCACAGAGGTATTAGGCAGGGCTGTGCTCTGTCTGGCATGCTGTACTCTCTAGCTATTGAACCTCTGTTGTGCAAACTGAGAGACTGCATCTCCGGTTTGTTTATACCTGGCTGTTCTACTCCACTGTGTGTCTCAGCATATGCAGACGACCTTGTTGTGATAGCAAGTACCCAGACTGATGTGGATGTTTTAGCTGGAATTTTAAATGATTTTAGGGTTTTATCGTCTGCAAAAGTAAACTGGACCAAGAGTGAAGCAGTTTTAGTTGGTGACTGGGATGGTGGGGAACCCGCGCTTCCAGATGGGTTGATGTGGAGAAGGGGTGGTTTTAAATATCTGGGGGTGTATCTGGGGGACAGTATCTGTAGTGCACAGAACTGGGATGGCATGGTTGAAAAGATTAAAGGACGCCTCAGTAAGTGGAAATGGTTAGTCCCCCAGATGTCCTATCGGGGAAGGGTGCTTGTTATCAACAACCTCGCTGCATCATCGCTCTGGCATAAACTGGCCTGCGTGGACCCCCCACCGAATCTGCTGGCAAACCTGCAAGCCGTGCTAGTGGACTTCTTCTGGGATCGACTGCACTGGATTCCGCAGGGAGTTCTACATCTGCCAAAAGAGGAAGGGGGGCAAGGACTCGTCCACTTGGCTAGCAGGGCCGCTGCCTTCCGAATCCAGTTCATCCAGAGACTTCTTGCTGGTCCCAGTGAGCTGGTTTGGAGGGCGGTATCATGCACAATATTACGCACAGTAGGTGGTCTGGGGTTGGACAGAGCATTGTTTTTAATGAGCACAAAAACACTGGACATTGCTGGGTTGCCTGTTTTTTATCGAGGACTTTTTAAAATCTGGGACTTTTTTAATGTGAATAAACAGGCTGGCTCCGCTTTGCACTGGCTGTTGGAAGAGCCTCTTTTCAACGGCACACGACTGGACTTGGAGGGCACGATCACCCCTGCACTGACTAGAGTCTTGTTGTCATCGGGAGTCACAACCCTCCGCCGGCTGGTGGACGTCGCCGGACCAGATCTCACTCGGGTGGAGGACGTGGCTGCGAGGCTGGGGATGAGATCTCTGCGAGTTGTGGCTCAGCTGCTCGAGGGCTGGAGGACAGCTCTCTCTCCTGAAGAACGTGAGCAGGTGAGGGACTACAGTGCAGGGGTGGTCAGTCCTACAGAGCATGACCCATTCCCGGACATCACTATCACGCCGGACCTACAGGACTGTGAAGGCCCCCTTCTGGAGTGTGAGGGGGAGTCTAGAATGAACTTGGGGACAGTGTCTGGTAAGCTGCTGTACAGAGCCTGTGTGAAGGTACTGAATAAGAAAAGACTGCACAGTAGAACCGACACACCGTGGCGTGATGTTTTTAATCTGAGTGATGATGTGAAGCCGGAGTGGAGAGCACTGTATAAACCACCATTGACTAAAAAAGTAGCTGACCTGCAGTGGAGGATTTTACATGGTATTGTCTCAGTCAACGCTTTTATTTCTGTTTTAAATCCTGAGATTTTACCACAATGTCCTTTTTGTCCCCAGAGAGAAACTGTGTTTCATGCTTTTATGGACTGTTTTAGGCTTTGCTCTTTGTTTGAAGTTTTAAAGACTGTTTTTAGGTCTCTTAATGTGACTTTTACACTCCAGACTTTTATCCTTGGTTTTAAATACGTCAGAAGAGAGAAATCCAAATGCCAACTGATCAACTTCATTCTTGGGCAGGCAAAAATGGCGATATATATCAGTCGTAAGAACAAGGTGGCGCATGGTACTGACTGTGAGGCCACAAGGATTCTCTCTAGGCTGGTGAGATCAAGGATTTTAATTGATTTTAATTATTATAAAAGCATGTGTGATGTGGAGGCCTTTGAGGCGATGTGGTGCTGTGGTGGGGCCGTGTGCTCAGTGTGCGAGGGTGAGCTCTGCTTCGCTCCTGAGCTCAGATGAGCCAGACTGAGTTTTATTTGTTTTCCTGTTTTTATCTATTTATAAAGTGTTTGTCTTGTTTTTATTTAATCAATTAATTTATTTCAATATAGCCTAAGATGACACTTTGTGACGGATGACTGTTTTAAAAAAATGCTGGTTCAATAAAGGACCATCAAAAAGTCAAAAAAAAAAGTCTCTCTCTCTCTCTCTCTCTCCCTCACTCACTCACTTACCATCTATCTCTCTCTCTTTTCTCTTCATCTCTCTTTTTCTCTGTCTTTCTTCTCTCTTTCTCTCAGTCTCACTCACTCACTCTTTCTTGATCTATCTAGCTATCTATCTATCTATCTCTCACTCTCTTTCTCTGTCTGTTTCTTCTGTCTTTCTCTCAGTCTCACTCAGTCTCTCTCTCCCTGTCTCTCTGTCTCTCTCCATCTCTCACTCACTCACTCATTCAATCACTCTTGATATCTATCTATCTATCTATCTATCTATCTATCTCGCTCTTTCTTTCTCTTTCTCTCTCTCTTTCTCTCTCTCTCTCTCTCTCTCTATCTCTCTCTTTTTCTCTTTCTCTCTCTCTGTCTCTCTTGCGCTCTTTCTCTTTCTCTCTCTTTCTCTCTCTCTCTCGGTCTCCCTCTCTCTCTCTCTCTCTCTCTCTCTCTCTCTCTCTCTCTCTCTGTCTCTGTCTCTCCCTCTCTCTGTGTGTTACAGTAGATGTTGATGTATGAGGAGTGTCAGTTTGTCAGGGCTGTTTTTTGTAGAAGCTGAGCTCCAGTCAGCAGAGAGCAGGGGCCGGGGGGAGAGGGTGGGGAGCGGGGACGGGGGGAGAGGGTTGGGGGTGGGGTGTGTGTGTGAGGTGAGGGGTCAAGGGTGGGCTACAGCTTTCTGGATAAGCATAAAAACGTCAGCCAGGTCACAGCTGTCACCAGTGATGCTGCGGTGTTGTATGAATTGTTTCTGTCAGTCCAGACCGCGACTGTGTTTGTGAGAAGAGCAGATATTTTATTATAGTTTAAATGAATGAAAAGTTGTTATTGTTTACAGTTTCTGTTCTGCAGAAAGAGGAAACATCCTGTACAGGTTTTCTGTTCTCATCACTTTTTGCAGTTAAAACAAACAGACAAACACTGATTGTGTCCATACAGAGGGAATTCGATATAAATGTCAAAAGCTGCAGTGAATATGCGCTTTATTATTACAGTTGAACAGTATAGAGAATAACAGTAATAACTCTTGATTTCTATGGGTTAACCCATACATTCCCAGGTGTATTACATCCTGAGGCTTATTATTTTTCTGTAATTTCATGGACTGAGTGGCTGAATTATTAATAAAATAATAAATCATAATTACATAATAAAAGTTCAGTCCATTTAAAGGGTTATTAGTAAGATATTAAAAGATAAATACAGTACAGTGCCTTTTCAGATCGACGGCTCTCGACTCCAGGCTGGTTTTGCACAGTGAAACTTTCATGAAACGTGTTGCGTGTTGTGAGTTGCATGCAACATAATTTCTGTGCAACTTGACTGTTACAGGAAGCAACTAAAACAATCAAAGTTGCACACATTCAGTTACTCCACTAGATCTTCACGTCATGACATCATAACTGTACACTAAATAGAAAAGACGGTTCTTTAAGGGTTCTTTAGTAGAGGCAGAGGTTCTGTTTAGGACTAGGAGTTCTGTATATAACCATGGTGGAATGGTTACGCAGATTGATGGAGAATGTGTTCTCCATATGGTTCTATGTAGGAGCTTTTTGAGTAAGGTTCTATATAGCACCAAAAAAGTGTTCTTCTTTTGATACAATGTCAGGCTTGTAAAAAAGAAGAACCATTTTTGGTGCTGTATAGAACCGCTTTCAAAAACATTCACACAAACACAAAATAAATACTGTACGTTCTCCATCAGTCTGAAGAACCATTTGATTATGCAGAGAACCAATTGAGCATGCAAAAGGTTCTATTTTTTCCTATCCTATTCCTGTAAGTTCTAAAAACACATTTCCAATATATTTAGCTAAAAAAGGCAAAATCACCTGCAGTGAGGAGAACCGCTCCTCAAACTGGGATCTGCCTCCTTAGAGGAAGATGTGCCTCAGTTTTTTGCCTTATTTTAGTAAATACACTTTTAAATTGTGCCTTAATGACTGAAGAGTTGATGATCTACATCAAATACCATGTTGTAGATTTTCTAAGCAAAGTAGTTTACAGTAGTTACAGTAGCTTAAACAGTAGAAGTTTACACCAGGTGTTGCAGTAATTTCCACTACTTGTTTCTGTAGTTTACACTGGGTATTTCTGTAGTTTACACTGGGTGTTTCTGTAGTTTACACTGGGTGTTGCTGTAGTTTACACTGGGTGTTGCTGTAGTTTACACTACTTTTTGCTGTAGTTTACACTGGGTATTTCTGTCGTTTACACTGGGCATTTCTGTAGTTTACACTGGGTATTTCTGTAGTTTACACTGGGTGTTGCTGTAGTTTATACCACTTTTTGCTGTAGTTTACACTGGGTATTTCTGTCGTTTATGCTGGGTATTTCTGTCGTTTATGCTGGGTTTTTCTGTAGTTTACACTACTTGTTTCTGTAGTTTACACTGGGTATTTCTGTAGTTTACACTGGGTGTTGCTGTAGTTTATACTACTTTTCTCTGTTGTTTACACTGGGCATTTCTGTAGTTTACACTGGGTGTTTCTGTAGTTTACACTGGGTGTTGCTGTTGTTTACACTACTTGTTTCTGTAGTTTACACTGGGTATTTCTGTAGTTTACACTGGGTGTTGCTGTAGTTTATACTACTTTTCTCTGTAGTTTACACTGGGCATTTCTGTAGTTTACACTGGGCGTTTCTGTAGTTTACACTGGGTGTTGCTGTTGTTTACACTACTTGTTTCTGTAGTTTACACTGGGTATTTCTGTAGTTTACACTGGGTGTTGCTGTAGTTTATACTACTTTTCTCTGTAGTTTACACTGGGCGTTTCTGTAGTTTACACTGGGTGTTGCTGTAGTTTAAACTGGGCGTTGCTGTAGTTTACACTGGGTGTTGCTGTAGTTCACACAGTTGGGTCTTGCTGTAGTTTACACTGGGTATACAGAAACATGTAGTGTAAACTACAGGAAAAATTGAAAACATATCTTTTTGACCAAGTTTTTACATAAAACTGTTGTCGTTTATTTTATTTACTTGTCATTTTATTTTTCCTCCGTTTGTTCCTTTTCTGCTTTTAAGTCCAGTTCACATTTTTAATAATCATTTGAAAATGTCTTTTTAACCCAGTTATTAATTAAGATATTGTTGTCATTAATTTATTTCCTTGTCATTTTGTCACATTTTATTTTTTGTTTATTCCTTCTGTTCTTTGTTCTGCTGTTGTTGTGTTTTTGCTTTTATTACTTAATTTACTTTTCAGTTGTAAAGCACTATGAGCTGCTTTGTGTACGAAAAACATATTTATTATGTATTATTATAGGTATGTCTTTCATGTTTCTGGCTACAGTGCAGTTAAACAAAAAAAGTAAATAAGACGAGAACCAGAAGCAGCTTAAGACTCGCCGCCCCAGACCTTTACTGTGGAACATCAGGCTGGATCTCATAAGTCCCTGCTTTGAGTTCTGATCTGCTCTCCCCACAGCCGACACGCCCATAGAGGAGTTCACGCCCACTCCTGCGTTTCCCGCCCTGCAGTACCTGGAGTCGGTGGATGAGGGGGGCGTGGCCTGGCAGGCGGGGCTTCGGACAGGAGACTTTCTCATCGAGGTAAGATCAGAGCGGTTCTTCTGGTTCCTCACTGCTGGGTTCAGAGCTGCTGATGTAAAACTGTGAAGCTATTACTCTTCTAAAGGGGAATTCCACCACTTTTTCAAATTTTCTCCATAATTCAGTGTTTGTAAATGGAGTCATTCAGAGTGGTTTGGTGTGAAATGGTTCAGATGTCTTTACAGTGGTGGTGATAGGAACCAGGGGTCGCCATGACTACAAGACAGATATAGACATTTTATTAACTATCCAGAACCACCAGTGAACCTACACGAGTCTTCTGAGTTTATATGGAATGTTGATGATGGAAAATAGTGGAAAATCTGAAATACTAAGTTTTCTTTGGGGACTATTTTTCCTCACAGCGCCCTGCATGTATCCCTCCACCATGAATGGATTTTAAGGCCAAAATCTTCTCAAAACTATCATAAACAGTGTCTCAGTCATCAGGCAGTGAATTCATAACCATTTCATGTAGGAACTTTCTGTGAGGAGCTTTTAGAGGTGGACGTCTGGTTCCTATCACCACCACAGTGAACAGTTCTGACTCGGTAAGTTTCTCTAGAACGGAGCGTTTCACACCAAACCACTCTGAACCGCTCTGTTTACATCTAAACCAGTTAATTATGTAGAATTTTGAAAAATCAGTGGAGTTTCCCTTTAAAAAAGTATAATATTTTTAAAAAATGGTCTCACTGTGAAAAATTAAGAGCCCCTGTTCCGTGTCATTTACGTTGACGTGTGCTGCGTTCTAGAGCTGTGATACTTCCTGCTGATTGGCGGTTTTGTTTGATGTTTGGATTTAGTCTGGTTTATACTGGGCGAGGCTTTATGTGTTCTGTTTACAAATACAGTGTGTTGACTTTTACTCAGTAATCTCAATTTTGTGTGCATCCTGTTTTCCGTTTCCTGATAATTTATGTTTGAAGTTTTATATAGCATTAAACTGAAATCACTCATTGTTTATTATGAATGCTGAAATGAGGCAAAATAATAAATAAATTAACGAATCAATCAAAAAGTCAAAGCAGAAATAAATAAATGAGTAGCAGAAAACTAAAAATGAATACATTTTGAGGAAAACTGTAAATTAATGAATAAAGCAAAATAGAAATAAATAAATAAATAACAGAAAAGTAAAAAAAAATGAATAAATGAGTGAACGAATAAATAAATAAATGGATTTGGGAAGCAAATATAAAATGAGTCTTTTTCATTGTGCTGGTGCAGTGATGGAATTGCTGTATTGCAAATTGTGGCCTGTTTTTCTTGCCCTGTTAAGTTCAGGCAGAGTTTGGTGGGTGAAGCTGGTCAGACAGTAAGGCGTGTAAAGGCTTGTAAACTACCGCTTTAAAGTCTATCCAAGATCTGACAGACTTCAGATTGTGGCAGACAGTGCTTTTTGTACTATGCAGTCTAAAAGTTTGTCAGTACAAATTATATTAAATTATCAGTATAACAATTTGAGTGAAAATAGAATGTTTGAATTATTTATTTCAGAATTTCTTAGTATTTGGGTGTGCTGCCCTTTAGCTTTAAAGAGCCCGTATCATGGAAAAACAAAACTTCCTCACTTTTCTGGGAGTAAAAAAGTTTGAAGTTAGTGTGAAAACATTTTTCTAAATGAAAATAAGTGAACACACCCCCCTCAGAGAACACTTCTGCACATTTTAATGCACAGTTACTGTTTATTTGCTGATTTTTTTTTTTATTATATTAAAAAATAAAAACACAAAATGTGTCCTGTGCAAAAGTTATGGCCCATTTATATGAATATACTTGAACTTCTCTGTGTATTTGTCAGTATAAGCCAAGTATACTTGAGTATAATTTTGTCTAGTATGTCTCTGATAAGTATATAAATGTATACTGAAAGCATACGCTCTTATTTTTAGTTTGACCTCTTATTGACCAGGGTATATTTTGGTTTGTCCATCTGAATTTACATGACCAAATCGTAAGGCAAATTATTCAGTAACTGCATGAAATAAATGTAAATTTTTGTTTTATTTAATTTTTTATTTTTTGTAAAAGCTCCCCTTAAATTAATAGAACGTGCGTTTTATGATCACACATATCGCTATATGCTTACAATTTACTGCTGAAAGCTAAAAATCTTAGACGCTCTTTGTATTATTTTATAAAAATAATGTTTACAGAGCAGATCACTGAAGAGACGCCATCTGTTTATAGTTTATAGCCCAGATTTGTGAAAAATGGGTCGACTTTCAGTAGAAAAAAAACTGAGTTCAGCTTCTTTTATTATAAGGGTTTAAAATTACATCACCCATCTATTTGACTGGAGAGAAGACAGTTACAGCTCTCATACGACCCCCACCTTTAGAATGTAGCTTATGAAATATGAAAGTTATGAAGAATATGACGAAGTGCGTTTTGGAACCACCGGTGGTCTCAAGGAGTTGAAGAGGTTAAAGGAAGTTTACTAAAGGCACTCTTGAATAGAGTGTTCTCAGTGTTCAGAGTGTTCAGTGTCCTCTCAGACTTTTGGACCCCACTGCAGCTCTGAGTGCTGTTTATATTCATTTCTTTGCTGTTGTCCATGATCAGCTGTGTTTGTGCTGCTGGAGCGTCTCAGTAATGTGTGTAGAAAGATGAGGGTTTCACATCCTTCAGATTAGAGCCTCTCTAAAGAGGCCGTTTGCTAACAGCCCCTTCAGCTGCAGCGCGTCTGTCTTCTGCGTGATGATTAGACGGAGTGCCGTCATTAGGAGAAGCACTGCGGTCCCGGCTTGAGGCTGAATGGAGAAGCAAATGAGACGAAGCTGCGTCGCTCTGTAGAGATCTGTCCTCTCCATCCTTGCCTCTCTCGCTTTGTCCATCTTCCCTGCTTTTCACACAGACGCACTCACTTCTCTCTCTCTGTCTGCACTTCTCACACTTTCACTCGTTCTTTCAGGCTCCGTCAATCCCTCCTCCTCTTTTTTCTCTTCTTAGGCACCTGAGCACATTGTTTAAACAGCGTTTATCTCAGTGCTGAGTGTGTTTTAGTCAGTAAAAACTGTACGTAACACTAGAATAAATAAAGCTCAGCTATAGCTGCTTTTCTCACATCTCCAGCAGGAAACTTTTCCGTAAAAGTAGAACAGTTTCTTGTAAAATGTCTCTCAACGTTAGTTTTTTACGAGGCTGAAGTCGCTTCTCATTCGCCAGCTTCTTGCTCGAATTTTTCCACCTTAAATGTGCCTGAGGTGCTAGAATGTAACTGCTGCACCATTTAAGGTGGAACGGGATAATTAGAACAAGAAGCTGGCGAATAAGAAGCGACATCAGCTTCATAACTTTTTAGTGTTTGAGTTTCTCACTGCAGATTAAACGTATCAGGAAACCAGCTGGAGTGATTATAAACACTAATAAGTCCATTCATCTCCAAATTATCATTGTTCATCTTAAATCTCTCTCTTTGCCGTTTTCGTTAGCTACTAGCTAGGCGAGACTGTTGTCTGTGTTGCTATGGTGACCAGCAGTCTGCGCTGATCTTCAGGGTTAAAGGGTGAATCAGCAGTTCTACATTAACTCCAGAGTTTAAGACCATTTATTGTTAAACTGTGTTGAACGATCAGCAGAGCTTTATTTTACTGTAAAGGAGGATTATTTTGTTTATAACGGTTAATAAAAAAACATTATTATGTTAGATGATTCTTTTTAAGTTTAAAAAACAATATTGGGCTGTGTTTGGGTTCAGAACTGGCCTACAACTCTGCACACACACTTTCCCTCTTTGCACCTTAACCTGGCTGTGTTTGAGCCCTCAAAGCGGCCAACAGCTGCAAAGGTATGGCAGATTTTTAAAATATAAAAATACAGACTTTAAAACAAGCACACACGGGTCTTTACTACGCTGATATATATATTAGCGCAACACACTAACACACCACCACCACGTCAGTGTCGCTGCAGTGCTGAGAATGACCCACCACCCAAATAGTACCTGCTCTGTGAGGGTCCATGGGGGTCCTGTGGGGGTCCTGACCACTGAAGAACAGGGTAACAAGGTATGCAGAGAAACAGATGGACTACAGTCTGTAACTGTAGAACTACAGAGTGAGACTGTATGGTCAATGGAGCTGATACAGTGGACAGTGAGTGTAGAAACAAGGTTTAGGTTTGGTTTAATGAAGTGGCTGGTTGTGTGTTTCTATATATATATATATATATATATATATAGGTTTTGTAGCTTTAACATCTTTGAAGGATGTCTGAGTCACTGTTTAGTGTTATATTTACGTTACTCTGAGTTTCTCTGTGTGTGTGCTGGTGGTTGTCATCTCCTCTCACGTGCTCCTCACGTTTGTGTGAGATAAACAGATAATAGTGGCTGAAAGCTGAGAGCGTCAGTAAAGCAGACCTGTCTGCGTGATGTAAGACACTAAGACAGCATAAAACATTCATGTACTGTGTGATTGTGCACATGCACGTGTGTGCATGAGCCCAAACGTGCATGCGTGCATGTGCACGTGTGTGTGTGTGTGTGTGTGTGTGTGTGTATGTGTGTGTGTGTGTGTGTGTGTATGTGTGTGTGTGTGCTGTGTGCAGAATGTATCTTACACAGCTGACTGAGCGTGCTCACTTAGTGATGATGACGTAACATCGGAAGTGTAGTTGATCACACTGTTTCTCTGCTACGTCAGTCAGAAATTAAAGCCCTAGATTGATGAAAAGTCTAATTAACCCAGCCCCCCCACCCCCTTACCTCAGATGAATTTAAATGCGATTTTAATTAGTCGTCTTTATTAGGGTAGATGTGCTTGTGAAGCGCGGATGTATCTGCTGCTTTGGTTGCTGGGTTTATGTTAATCCGTGCTCTTGTTAATGTGAAACAGTGTGCGTTTATATCTGACGTGACCAACACTGCGGTTAGCGTGCTGCCATCATGGCGCTGCATAGGCCTCATGTAACCTGCTGTGACATCATAAAAAATTCACCGATCACCAAACAGTTGTGCCCAGGAGCCGATAACTTGGTGATCCGAGCTGCCTCAG